TTGAAAGCTCCCCCCCCCTCAGGCTTCTTTCCCTTGAGGCCCCGCCTATGCTCCGCTCCGAAGCTCCGCCCACGCTTGGCCTCTCCCGCCCACTGGCCTCTATATTCTTTTTGGCTTTGTGCTGGGGGTGGGCGGGCGCCGGGCGTGTGGTTTGCCATCACAGCACTCTGTTCAGACGTGACATGGTAGAGCCTCAGGCGCTCCCTAGACCTCGACTTGGACCCGCTTTGGTGGTCAGCGGGGCCAGTAGATAATCTGACCTCCCAGCCCTGCCCAGGGCTGTATCACTGATCGCCATCACAGCACTCTGTTCAGACGTGACATGGTAGAGCCTCAGGCGCTCCCTAGACCTCGACTTGGACCCGCTTTGGTGGTCAGCGGGGCCAGTAGATAATCTGACCTCCCAGCCCTGCCCAGGGCTGTATCACTGATCACTCAGTTAGCAGAACAGTATCTGAGAAGTTCTTATTGGGTGGCCACATTGCAGGGATGGAAGGGGCTGGAGCTTTTGAGGCTGCAGCTGCTACTCCAGCTCTAAGCCCTGAGCAAAAACGCTTTGCGCAGATGAGCCCTAACGTGGGATCCTGTGCCCCTCAATGTTGCAATGCAGCGATTCCCTGGCCCACAGAGTGGGGAGCAAGCTGTGGCATCCGTGAGCACATGGTACCTGTCAGGGGAAGTAAGATTGGTGGGGGGCTGATGTTTAATTGAATGACATGTGCCTGAGGCTGCAGGCAACCTGGAGCGCCAGCTCATGAGCCATTCCCAGGGGTGTGCTGCTTAAATGTCATCATTAGGCTCCAAAGTGAACACCATTACCTCTTTCAGTGCTGACTGTTTGAGGAGCAATGTCCACTGGAGGTGCCAGCATTATTGAGGGGAGATATCAGGGAGTTGGTTGCTGGGGTAACGGTGAAGGATTCTGGCTCTCCTGCTCTCAAAAAAAGTCCCCTCCATCTTACTTCAACCGGGTTGATGTGCCCTTTTCCCAAGCCGGATTGGCCCAGCGTGGCGCACACCTCTCAGTCTGAACCATGGGGCTGGAGTGAGGAAAGGGAGAAACAGCTGTGGCACGGGATCTTTCATTGCTTGTGAAAGGCAGCCACCTCTGGGGCAGAATATGGCGGCTGTTTATTACACCATCCATTGGAAGCCCACACTTCCGCTTGAGAACGCTTCCCTCTGTCGCTGGCTCTGCTGATGGAAAATGTTCCTAAAACACGTGAGAGATTAGCAGGGCAGCTAGGCCCGGACCACTTGGCAGCGCTTTGTGGTGTGTCTTTCGTGCAGCAATCGGGGAGGGAAAAACGTGCTTTGAAAGACCCAGGAAAATGTGATTGGAAACCTCCCTTCCCTCCCCCTCCACTCCTGAGTCAGATCAGACTTGGTAACTGACTAGATTTGACCTTCACTGCGGCCCTTAGCAGCTCCCAGCCAGACTCCGCAGCCATCTGGGCTGCAGGTGGAACGGCCAGGAAAGTGAGGCTGGCAGCCGGTCCCAGGTGTCCTCCTTAGCAGAGAGCCTCAGGCTGGTGAACGACAAGGAGGGGAGGGCCTCGTTTGCCACCTGACCCAACTCACAGCCGTCCCAGCCCCACCGTGGGGCACCGGCTTTCTCTTGGATTCCTCCCTTCCTCACACTGCCAGTCAGGGTGGACCCCGCAGAAGTGCCTGCCCTAGGCTCGGAGTTGGTCTGGCTTGTTGCCAGGCCAGAAATGCGCACACGCACACACACACACAGACACACACACACACGCACACGCCATTCTCTCTCCGTGCTCGGTGGCTAGCAGCTGGTAGGGCACGCCTGCTATTTGCTGTCCTCGCAAACTGCCCCCGCTGGCCTCGCATGCAGGACACTATCCGCTCTTGTCCTGTCTGCGACCGCTGCTGGCCTTGCACATGCACCTAACTGCGGTGGTTTTCAGCCAAGGGCAGATGCCTCCCCCCAGGCGTACGCAGGGTCTTCCACGCGGGACAGCAACAATTTGCCTAGTTTTACAACAGGCTCCATAAAAAGTGGGTGCGAAGTCTGTACAGACGACACTTTGCTACCGATAATGACGTATTCGTACGGCTCTGTGTCCCGTCCGCTGACATGTGAGCACAAGAGTTGTGATCCAGTCGATGTATTTTACAGTGATGCGGTAAAAAGGAGGAAGTCAGCAATTTTGCAGTACTCGTGAGGCCGGGACACTTTTGTCGTCTTAGGTCCGGTTTTGTGAGCACGTGGTTTTGAAGTGAGGTGAAACGTGGGGGTTGATAAAACAAATCAGATTCCTGAAAGGGGTGCAGTCATCTGGAAGGGTCGAGAGCCCCTTCCTTACAGCTCCTTTGCCTGTGGTCACGCTGTGTACACAGGTGTGTACACGCCTGGCTGCTCTGGGACTGTGTCCACAATGCAGCCATGCT